GCAGCGCTCCCTCTCACAAATGAGAATTGAACTTGAGCCGACAGGCTGCATTTTAATAAAGGATAAGCAAAAACCAACTAATAAAACATAGATGAGGCCCACAACAAGCACTATGCTTCAGCAGAATAACAACAACAACTACCCGTGCCTGAGCATGTCAGGCTCTAGCCGGGAGATGCTCCAGAAATGCTCCAGAGCCTCTCTGCCCTTCCCCAGCCGACTGGAGCTGGGACTGGCAGATCTGCCGCTCATTCGGGGTCTCCGTGCCTGGGCCCTGTGTTCCAGGAATCGCCACAAGACTGCTAATCTGCTGGGAGGAGGACAAGCACCCATAGCTCCTCCTGCAGGTCGAGGAAGTTCAGCGTCCTGCCCCAGGCCTGCAGATGTTTGCCTGAGTGGCGAGTGGGGTCGCATGGGATATGGGCTTCCGCTGGGGGTGGACAGTAGGCAGGCTGGAATCGGAGCTTTGGTAACAGTTGCCACTCTGAAGACCTCAGAGGGCAGCGGGAAGACTCAGACTCAGTGTTTGTTCCTCCGGACTGAGAAAGGAAGCTGTTTGTATTCAGCAGCTAAGCCCAACTCTGGAGTGACAACCGGTGCAGCATCCAGCGTGGTCGGAGGATGGCTGAGAGGAAAGACTGGAGTAGGAGGAGGACGCAGAGACACTCCAGCTGGGCCAACTCCACCGGCACAGACTGGAGCAAACCGGGTTAGGGTGCGATCGGGGCGGAGATGGAGGAAGTCTGGCAATGCAGCGTGCCGGGAGAAAACAGGCGTGAGCAGAGAGAGGCAGCAGAGGAGCAGGGAAGTTCCTGCTGGTGAAATCGCTGTGGAAGAAAGGCAGGAAGAGCAAGACAAAGGAGGCCTGGACTGTAAACAGTTTCCCACCCCACAGCAGGACAGCTGGCGAGCCCGATGCAGCCACAGCGTTTCTCCTAAATCCTGCGTCCAGTGTGGAAGGAGAGCACAGAGGAGGAAAAGCCAGGATGGACACGAGGGAGGCATCCCGAACAGGCTGAACAGTGAGGTGACGGGAATGAGGAAGGAAAGGCAAAAGAATGAAGAGGAGGATAAGGGAGACCTCGGCATGTTAGAGTCTTCCAGCTCTGTTTTGACTGAACTAAACCCTGACCTAGAATCTACTCGTTCTTACAGTGACTCCCACGACAGCTGCGATGTGGGAGAAACGAGAGAAACTGAGAGCAGCGAGGGGCAGAAGACACAAGCTTCTCAGAGCAAGGATGGCTATTCAGAGGAACAAGAGGACAGATACACTGAAGGAGATATCGTCACCCATGGACATTCTGGGTTGACTGATAATTTAAGACATAAGAACAGCGTTACTGAGGGAAAACCAAGTGAATGTCCCCGTGAAGAAGAAGAAGAAGGGGCTAATGTAAACGGATTTTCTGATCTCAATGAAGCAGGTGAAGAATCAGAGAAAAGGGCTGAGTGTGCAGATGTTAAAGATGAAAAGGAGAACGTCAGCGAGGCTCTTGATGAATTCTCCAGCTGGTGTGCAGTCTTTACGCCTGCCTCCAGCAGCACTGCAGTCTCCCTCAGTTTCAACAAGTCAGCCGCACCCATAGAGGGCAGCGTGTGCAGTGCTGACCGTGAAACTTGTTGGGTTCAGGCTGAGCAGGAGAATCACGTTGAGGGGTATCAGCAAGAGGAAGAAAACTCTGGGGTCGCAGGTGAAGAAGAACAGGCCAATGAGAAAACCACTGTGAATGAGGTATTACATAATAAACCTCAATCTGTGTTTAAAAATGAGGAGGAAGTGTTACCTTCACCCCTCACAGATGGAGATCATTCCATCTGTGAGTCAGGCGAGAGGATTGTGGCAGACAAGAGCAGCAAATGTGGGACGAAAGATGAGCCGGAGTCAGAAGAAGGAAATTTAGAAGAGAGCCTCAATCCTGAACATGGAGACGGAGCTGGGGAAATTCGGAAGTCGGATGAATGTAAAGGAGAAGTCACACTCAAAGATAATAATGAAGGGACAGAGATAAACTGTGCTTCAGAGGAAGACTGGAGGTTACAGGAGGTTGAAGATGAACACAGGAAGTGGGAGGAGGAGGATGGATACACCTGTGCACAAACAAGCAATGCTCCTGTTGAACCAAGTGGAGAGACTAACATCACTAACACTGCCTGCACCAATCTCCCCACCTCCCCTGCGCTCTCCCAGGCTAATCCTGCCCCTTCCCTGCCCACCCTGGGATCCATGGCAACCGGCCTGCCCTGTCAGGAGAGGGAGGAGGAGGCAGTCAGTGCAACAGCAGGAGATAGAGAAGGAGGCCAAGAAGGGAAGAGAAGAGAGCTGGAGGAGCAGGGTGAGGTGGAGAGTGGCTCCACCGTGGCCACTGACGAAGGGAGGAAGGAGGAGGAGGAAGATGAGTTTGGAGTGTTCATGCAGGCGGAGGGAGAACCAGCCTGGAGCGAGGAGTTCACCATGTCTGCCTCAGTGCCTTGTGGGAGCAGAGAGAGTGTTGGTGAGTCTCGTGGTTGTTCATTCTCTGTCCCTTTCTGTGTTTACGAGCCAGGCTTTCCTCTCATTTTAGTATCTCTTTCACTCCTTTGGGATCTTTAGTAAATTTGCCTTTCTGTGTGCTGTAGACTTGGATCTTTTGGTCCTGGATAACAAGGCTGCCACAGAAAGGCTTCAGGGATTTTCAGAAAAAAAGTCAGAAATGTGCAGATTTAGACTCTTTAACACTCTTTGTGTTGTGTTGGGGAAACAAAGAGTGAATGGCAACGACTCCCTCAGAGAATTAGTGCATTTTTAACCTTTTGTACACTTTGAGGAATGCAAGTGCACACAATCTGTTTTCAAGAAGCGCACAAGTAGTTATGCACAAGTGGGTATTTACTTTTATCTTTCCAAAATCCTGTTGCTGTTGTAGTTTCTATTTTATGAAGATGTGTTTGATAAAGTAGCTGGAAGTCCTTACTTAAACTGCATTGTTAACTCCCTCCTCAAGAATTGAGATCTAATTATCTGGAATTAAGTTAGTTTTTTATAGAGAACATCAAGATATTTTGCAGTTTTTTAATATTGTCGCCCTCAAAAGATCCATTCAAAAAATAAAATAAAATACTGGACTGAGATCAACTCCAAAAGGCAGTTGGGCCCTTCCTTATCGTTGGTACAACTTTTCCTACAAATCTGCCTGATTCTTTTCGACTAATCCTGCTAACAAACTCATGGAGGAACAAAACTAAACCCATCTCAAAGCTTCCTGGGTACGTGGAATTAAAAAATATTGGACACCATCATTCAGTGCAAGAAGGTAATTGAGAAGAAAATATTTTTATTGGCTTTTTTTAAAGAACTGTATGATGAACAAAATAAAGCAATGAATTTAATTAGTAGTGTGACAGTATGATGGCTCTTATCTGCTACACTCTTGAAGCAGACACGCGCAGGTATGTCAGATCTTTTACTCCTTGCGCCTCGTTGTTTTTCTCTCACAGCCGGTGTTAATCAGTCGTAATGATCCCTCATTCTGCTCCGTTTAGCTAATCACCTAAATCATGTTAAGCCCAGTTTCCACAGGGGGGCTAAATGAGGCTGTGCTGAGGTTGGTGCATAATTATGTCTCAGTCTGTTCTACTGAAAAGTATTTCTGTTTATTTTAACATGTTGCTGATGGCTTATCAGTCACCATTTATCATCAGAGGGACTGATGTATGTAAAAGGGCAAAAATTAAAGGACCAGCTATAAAACCTGAAGGTTTGCTTCACCCACATTACTTATGCGTATTTTCACACTTATCTGGCCTTTTAGTTTTCTTTTGGTTTTAATTATTAGTAATTAAATTGGGCTTTCAATAAAAATGTGAGTTACAGTAGCAAATGTTCATATTAAACATGGCTGAAGTTGGTTTTTTTTTCTATCCGTGGCTCTGTATGATGTCACTTATGATGGGCATCCCTAATAAGGCAACCTCAGGCACTGAAGCCCCACCCACATTCTGTTTAAGCATCTCAATGACGGCCAGCCAATCAGGAAAATGTTGGCTTAAAAGGAGGAGGAGATAAATCTACTTGTTTCACACAGTGGATAAAGTGAAGTAGTTCACCATGACCCCAAAGTCTTTTAATGAATAGCTACAGTAGAGTGTAACAAACACCTTTCATAGCATTTGCAAACAGAGGTCAGGCTGTGCCTGTGTGAAATCTGGGAAAATACATATTATAAATCTACACTGAATATAACTACAAGGTTGAAAAAATTAGCTTGAAATAAAAGGAGTGAGAGGCAGAAAAAACATGGAAAAACATTTGATTGGACGTGTGTTCCGGAACAGGTTGTTTTAACTCATTCCTCCATAATGATACATTTGATCCCTCGGTGTATATCAATAAAGATGCAGTTTGAAGGGTACCTGCAAAGGCAGCGACCACCCTCACTAACATGTGATGCAAACTTGGTCAATTTGTTCTGTAAACAGGCCTGAAATGGGGGTAAAGAGTTAAAGTAAGGCAGCCTGATAATCATACAGCTAATCATTGTACACTCAAGCACATGCTGTAACTTAGATGACGTAAATAAGTTGTTGAGCAGTAGTACTTTTAATCTTGTGATAAATATGCAGAGTTCTTTCTTGCCTTGGTAGGCATCACTTACCAGCACAGTGGAAATAAGACTAGTTTGTCCTGACCTGGATTCCTAACTGATCTCCCCGTCTCACTACGCGGTATTAATCATTCAGAGTCGAGCTAAGAGAGGGGGAGGAAGCAAACGGGCCAGTGAGCTCTCCTGTTAGCCTCAGGTTATTGGGCAACGGGTGAAAAGGAAACAGTCTCACAGACAAGTGTCTGATAGATACATCGTCGGATAAATGCACCGAGCAATGGAGAGCGACGTGTAGACGTGTCAAAGCAGCAGGGATCGAAGAGAGATACAAATATTCGCTGAAATGTTTCCACGCAGTGAGATTAAAGTCCAACATACAAACTCAAAGAATCCCGCAGAGTCTGGTACAGCAGGCAACTTTTTAAGCAACAGCAGGAAGCAGTCACAGCCATAGACAACACAATGATACGACAAGGGACAGAATAATAAATGCAAGTTGTCTTGCTGTGCTGCTGACAAATAGAAAGCTGAAGAGCTACTAGAACTGTGGGTTTTAATTCTGGCACATCTAATAATAATTTAAAATATAACCACTATCTTTGTGAGAATCCAGTTTAATTTTTAGAGCATCAGAGCGATTGCAGTTTGTAAATGACCTTAGCCTGCTCTTTATACACCTTTTAATGGGAGCATGTCTCCACACCATACCCCTAAAATATGACTGGCAACCCCCCAGTGCTTAACCACCAATGTTATTGGACTACAGTGTTGTTATTCTTACATTGCTCAAAAACCGTGCGTGAGAGCATGGATAAAACTGATGGTCCAACCTGACCAGCATTAATGGGCTTGTACTTTAAGTATTTCTGTGTTATACTACTTTCTAATTCTGTTTAACTCAATTAAATATGTTTATATAGCACTGAATCAAAACAACACTTTAGATTGAAAGGTAAAGACCCAATAATAATACAGAGAACTCCCCATCAATCAGACGACCTCCTATTAACAAGCACTGGGAAACAGTGGGAAGGAAAAACTCCCTTTCAACAGGAAGAACCCTCCAGTGGAAGGGAGGGGGAGCACTGGACAGGACAGGACTGGTCAACAGTATTTTGGATGCACATATTGTCTGTCCGTCCATCTTCTGAACTGCTTTTCCTGTTCTTGGTCACAGAAGACTAAAGTCTGTACTTCCCTTTAAAAAGCATCAGGTCTATTTTATAGGTTAGCTGCATCCATCTGCACAGAGCACATGAGGACGACAGGAACGGTTTAGTCTGCAACAGTAAGACTCCATGAATTGAAACCATCTAAAGCATCTTAGAAACGTGTCAAGGTTTAAGTAGACTGAATAAACCGTTAGTGAAGATCAGACAGAGATTTCTTAAATTATTAGTTGGATGTGTTGTAGGGTCTGTAGAATTTAATTTAATTTTCCAGCATTTAAAAACGATTGTGGACATTTGTACAAAACAGTTATTAGGATTCTTCATTCATTTGGATAAACTGGCCCTGTTTGGAAGCCATCCTAGTAATTATTGTCACCTTTAGCACCAATGCTGCTGTTGCTGTATTATAATACAGGGTTAATGCCCATTAATATCCTTTAAGAGCATCGAAAGTACATTGTATGTACTAAGACTTAATGTGCCTGTGTGTGTGTTTGATAACAGCACTTGGAAAGCATGCTATCACCAGTGAGTCGACCCTCTGGACGCCAGGCAAGACGGACAGCTCGTTCCACCAGTCAGACGACACCTGGACAGCCTTCCCTCAGGATTCATCAGATGAAGGTGGAGACGTTGTGGAGCAGTGGTGGCCAGCCAGTGCTGTGGAGGAGAGGAGAGACAGACTCTCAGCCAATCAGAACCTGGTACAGTTGTCCTTCAGTAACTGCTATAAAAACGGCTCTGTTTGTTCAGTAAGAGCTAAAGTGGCCATTACATCCACTTCACTGAGTCCACAAACTCCTCAGGATTGGTTCATTTGTGTCACAGCATTGAATTTCTGTCTTGCGTGGTTTGTCTCTGTGACTCTAACCTCTGTTTGCACTTCCTGTACCATCGATCAGGGATGCTCGGTGGATTCAGGGAGTTATTTGTGTAGTTACTCAGTCCCCTGTGGATCATGCAGTAGAAAAGAATTATTCATGTGTAATTCTATGCATTATTTGTTCCATCTGCTATTCTTAGTGTCTGGTAGATATAGCTGGCCCTGGGTGGAATGTGCAAAAACCTTCGTGTGTGTATTGTATGTTGACTATAAGTTAGAGAAGGAGTTTAGTTTCACGTCCAAATCTCTGTTTTTGTTTTTTGGTGAGAGATGGGGTGATTTTAGTGTTATCTGTGTGGGTCACTAATTCTTATCCAGTTGAAAGTGCATATGTCTGTGACCTAAAATTTCCCCCTTTTTCTAAGTTGGCTGTGCCATTACCATGGAAACACGGCTCACCCTGATGTAACCCTGCGGGAGGAGTGACTAAGTTTTATGAGTAAAAATTAATCAGTATTTTCTCCAGCTTTACCCCAGCTTTTTTTTTTTTTTCCTTAAAAATAAAATTAAAAAATAAGAAGTCAGCACTGCGGGGAGAGTCTCCCAGTGGACATTAAGCACAGTGCAAAGATGCAGATGAAAAATGAGCCCTGCCCAAAACTGCAGTGAAGCAGAGTGAGAGGAGGAGACTGGCTGTTTTTAAATAAGTCGGTGCCTGTGGTGCCACAAGGAGGCCTTTATGAAAATAAAGTATTAACTTTTCATGCAATGAACCATAAATGAATATTTTTTTCCTAAATGCTGCAAATGTGTTTTTGATGCTTGTGTTTTGACTGTTTTCTTGCGGATGCTGAGCTCTCAAGCTGTATTTGATGAGCTCTCTCTGTATTTACTGCAGGCGGCTGTCTTTGCTGAAGCCTTCCCCTCATTTACTGGTTCGTCCTCAAGTGACTCCTGTGACCTCAGTACTGTTCCCACACTGAGCCAGCTCCTCAGAGGCGGAGCAAGCCAAGACCAGGGGTAGGTGAACCGTGCTGACGAAGGCCATCATGTGTAGCGATGGCTCTAGATAAAAGATGGATGGGAATAAACCTAAGAACCTGAGTGAAGTTGGTGCACAAGTACCTTCAATGTACATTCTTCAGCTCTCTTTATCCATGCCATCAGTAAACACTTTCCTGGTTTCAATCATTAGTTTCAGCTTTCACCAAAGACAGCACAAGTTTAATTTAGTAACGTGTGTTTCCCACCGTTTCCCACAAGGATAAGCGGAAGAGATTGGATGGGTTGTTTCCCACTAGTGTCTAGAAGGATGATAAAGTAGGCTGTGATTCAGGGCTAATGAAACCAGTCATAAATACTGTTTTTATTTCTATATTATTGCATAAGTACTCTGTACTGAATGGATCAGACCCCCAAAATCATCAGACTCAGTTTTACTCCTGCAAATTTTTATGATTGTATTTTGACAGATTGTCATCCTTCACCAAACCCTTCAATTCTCCAAACTGATTTGATAAAAGAGAACAAAATCTTTTTAGATCTTTCTCATAAATATTGAACTTTTTCTTCTTCTTAAAACTATTCCATAAATTCACCATTTTAACAGAAATACTGTGTTTTCCTTACATAATGTTGACGCTTTTTCTTAAATATTCATACTTGTTTTTAAAGAAAATACTCGTAACAATTACCAAAAACTATCATTCAGGGAAACTTTTATTTTAAACAATCTGTATGGGTTCATTTAAAAAAATATATCATTGTACATACAGGTCCTTTTTTAATTGAATTATTCACAAAATTACCTCCTTGTCCCTCCATCACTGAATATTTCTCTAAATCATTTGTGTCATTTTACTCGAGTCAAACAGGAATAAATACAAAATGCATAATTTGATGTTCTTTTATGGTGTCGGTGGTTTTACGAGATAAAACACTATACGTTGACAAGTTGAAAGAAAATGTGGCCACCTAGTGGTGACTGTGTGAAGTGCAACTATATTTCAAGGAACTGTTAGAATTGACTATAACCTATCAGAGCAAACATGTTTTTAACTTTGTACCCCTGGACAGCCTAATAGGAGCAACCCTTGAATTTCAGATAGGCTTACAGAACAAAATGACTGGGTTGGTGAGGGTGCTCTCTGCCTGTGCAGCTACCCTTGAAAGAACCTGGGAACTATTCTAGTGGTCGTAAAACCACACCAGATGGGTGGGCTTGTCAG